ACCATGATATAGACGCCATCCACCATCACAAAGACGCCATCCACCATCAGAGACGTAACCAACCATTACATAGATGCCACCCATCAACACACGAATTCGACCATTATTTAAATGTCAGTCACCCACCATTATCTAAGATTCCACCCACCCACATCTAAATACCACAATCAGGTACCAGACGCCACCCACCATCACCCAGGTACCATTACTGGCGCAGCCCAGCATCACCCACGTTGCACCCAGCCTCAGCCCCCAGGAGCCGCCCACCTGTTGAGCAGGCGACGTAGGTGAGCGGGGGCGGCGCAGGAGGAGGAGCTATCCGGCTCCAGCCACCACCTGAGTAACGCCAGGCCGGCCCACCATGCTCCCTTATACCTCATCCATCATCACTCAGGTACGTGTCACTCATACCTACAATGAAGGTGCGTGTCACCTCCTCCCCCCCCCCCCCCCACATACAATGAAGGTGCGTGTTTCCTCACCCTATATATACACGCCTCATTATAATTATCATGAGTCGCTTCACGTCAACAGATAAAAAGTGGCTCACATCACCGTTCCATACCCGCACCGCTCCTGTGCCAGGTAAGTCCACTACGGGCTCACCATAGGCCGTGCTACTTGCCCCGCTCCTGTGCCAGGTAAGTCCACTATGGGCTCACCATAGGCCGTGCTACTTGTCCCGCTCCTGTGCCAGGTAAGTCCACTACGGGCTCACCATAGGCCGTGCTACTTGCCCCGCTCCTGTGTCAGGTAAGTCCACTATGGGCTCACCATAGGCCGTGCTACTTGTCCCGCTCCTGTGCCAGGTAAGTCCACTATGGGCTCACCAAAGCCCGTGCTACTTGTCCCGCTCCTGTGCCAAGTCCACTATGGGCTCACCATAGCCCGTGCTACTTGGAACTTGTTCCGAGTAGCTGAATCTATAACAGCAACAACCGTTCCATACAGTCTCTTAACTGTACACTGCCTAATAAGTTTGTTTCCTAAGGTGAGAGCTGACCCCCTAACCCCATCTCTAACTGCACTTAACACACTTAAAATGTACGATAGTGTGTATTGCTGTATACACTGTATACTATTGTATACAGTATAATATACACGTAATACACTTAATTGTAAAATACACTTATTGTGCAACCTAATATACACTTATTGTACACTATAATATACACTTAATTACTATTGTAAGTCCATACATCGGTATCATTAACCACGAGACCCAATCAAAATAATACAAATGAATTATGTGATTTCAAATTATACATAAAAGTCGCCGTTTTCTACGAAAATTGAATAATTCCTATTCACACTTTTTTTTTTTACACAAGTGGGTCCAGCATCAGATGACTGCTGACTCTTAGGTTATCAGTGTGTCTCTTACATCATCTAAAATCTAGATCATGTAATCCGTATGAACCTATTAACATTTCATTTCTTGCGCTAACTAAATTGTACACAAAATATTTAAGAACATAAGAACATAAGAACAAAGGCAACTGCAGAAGGCCTGTTGGCCCATACGAGGCAGCTCCTATTCTATAACCACCCAATCCCACTCATATACTTGTCCAACCCGTGCTTGAAACAATCGAGGGACCCCACCTCCACAATGTTACGCGGCAATTGGTTCCACAAATCAACAACCCTGTTACTGAACCAGTATTTACCCAAGTCTTTCCTAAATCTAAACTTATCCAATTTATACCCATTGTTTCGTGTTCTGTCCTGTGTTGATACTTTTAATACCCTATTAATATCCCCCCGGTTATGTCCATTCATCCACTTGTAAACCTCTATCATGTCACCCCTAACTCTTCGCCTTTCCAGAGAATGCAACTTAAGCTTTGTTAATCTTTCTTCATATGAAAGATTTCTAATTTGGGGAATTAACTTAGTCATCCTACGCTGGACACGTTCAAGTGAATTTATATCCATTCTATAATATGGCGACCAAAACTGAACTGCATAATCTAAATGGGGCCTAACTAGAGCAAGATATAGCTTGAGAACCACACCAGGTGTCTTGTTACTAACGCTGCGATTAATAAATCCAAGTGTCCGATTTGCCTTATTACGAACATTTATGCATTGATCCTTTTGTTTTAAATTCTTACTAATCATAACTCCCAGATTTGCAAAAGCATACTTTATCACATCTGTTTCTTATTATATAACTGCGCCATCTTTGCAATTCTTGTTCTTAATTATGTGCTCACATGGTATTTTGCAACCTTTTAGAGCGCCTTTATTAATAAATTTGTGTCCGGATATATAAGCTGTATCAAGTGAATTAGGAATCAGAATCAGGAGCCAGATTCACGAAGCAGTTACGCTAGCATTTAGGACATCTTTTCTCAATCTTAGGCTGCTTTGTTTACAATTATTAAACAGTTAATGAGCTCCGAAGCACCAGGAGGCTGTTTATAACAATAACAGTTGATAGGGAAGTTTTCATGCTTATAAACTGATTAATAAATGTAACCAAAGGCATCAAAGATTGATGAAAAATGTACACGTTCGTAAGAACTTGTGTAACTGTTTCGTGAATCTGGCCCCAGGTTTAGGTGAATTAAATTGTCAACTAAACTATTGAACGATGACGATAAATAGCTGGTAAGGTTTATAAGCTATTACTACCACGAGTTATTCAGAAGGAGCCGTCAATGAATGAGATGGAAGTGGGCGGAATAAATGTCATCTACGCATAACCCTTGACGTGTAAAAATGCAGGCGAGGCGGCGCGAGGCTATCCCCTTTACTTGCTATAGCCGGCCAAGAATAATTTCCACCACCACCAGTACTTAGAGCTCCCTGATTCACACAAGTATTTTAATTCATGTGTAAATTACAGAATAACTAAGTTATTTTGAGTGGAGGTGATAAAAGATGAGGTACTTTTTAACCCTGGAATTTGGAATGTGTCAAAGTGTTGATAAGGCTTTTGGGTTAGTTAATGAAATGTGGAGGGGATTTACCATAGAGTTATTTGACATTGTGTTAAAATATGGGATCATAGTTTAGGTTTGAAATTTAATTTTATAGTTGTCGGCTAACAGGATCATTTCAACACAATCAACCTTATTTGTAACGTTACTGTATACTTTAAGTCCTGAACATGATAACTATCATTGTATGCCTATTACAAAGTATTTTACACCTGATGAAGCCTACCCAGAGCTGCTGTTACCGTTTCTACTACAGATAATTCTGCTCTTGCTGCTCCCACATCGTCTACTAGAACAGCTCTTTCTGCTCTTAGTTCTGTCGTACCTTCCTTGTACACCTGCTCTTGTGCTGAACCTTCAGCTCTCTTTCTTTCACCTGCTGTTGCATCTTCTAATCTCCCTATTGACCCTCTTATTCTTGCACCACAGCATCACACAGCCTAGCACCACAGCATCACATATTACCAATACTGCCATACAAAGCCTCGTCATCATCGCGTATGGCCACCATTAGGCAAGTGTACAGCAAGAACAAGATAGAGGCGCTCCACGTGAGCTGAAGGTGAGGTAAGGGGGTGAACGAGGGGGGGGGTGAACGAGGGGGGGGGGGGGAGGACGGAGACCTGTTGCACTGCTCTGCTCGGTAACTATGGAAACATCCCAGGCCCGCCGCCAGATGTCACACAGGGAAATTTACTCCACACCTGGCGAGAACAGGTGAACGAAGGCTCACGTGAACTGTGGGGGGGAGGGGGCTGGGATAGGATGCTCTTGAATGGGATAGAGTGTGTGTGTGTTCGTTTACCCGAGCTTCACTATTTAGTGGCCACGGCAGGCAAAGACAGCTGGTAGTTTTTCCCCAACTACATTTTGAATTACAGTAATGTCTTGACATTACACGTGACCTTTTAAAGTTGTCTGGATTAATATCCTCAGTTTTATTCGGTATTTTAAGTCTGAGATCAGATCAGCCCTGTCGTGTCCGGTTTGTAGTGTTAGGCATTTCTAAGATAATTTTCATCGCTTTACATTGTACTTTTTCCAAGGCAGACATGTCCTCCTGAAAATGAGGAGCTTCATGGACGTACAAAGTCAGCTAAATGAACTTTCTGGGTCGAATATTGGTTCCTAGCCCCTGCCTTCTTAACATTTATAGTTTATTACAGTTATTTAGGTTGCTAGAGTTTTTATCATATTTACATTTAAAAGTGTATCGAGTTTGCTTCAGGAACTTCTTTATTTAACCCATTCCACACATTTCCAACATCTAAAGTAGTAAGTTCTCCTTCGATCTGCTGGTCTTAGTTGTGGAAAGTGATTCTTTGTTTACCTTGTCAATCGTCATTAGAAGCTTGTATGTTATTATGTCCCCCAATTATGTGTATTGCCGAAATGGCTGAGAATGTTTTAGATATTCTCAGGTAGGCGGCCTTTCGCTTCATTCGGGACAATGCATTGTGTGCCCCGCTTTGCCTTAGGGCAATATTGCTTCATTTTCATCTTGTTTTGGTTGTGTGTGTGTGGGGGGGGGGGAAGGGGGGGGGGTTCAGTTCCTGTGTCATCCTCTTTCTCCGTCACTTGAGCTGTCCGTGGAGGGTTCAGACCTTATAGTGTGGCATAGACTGATTGAACCGAGGGCTATAAATGGAGAAATTGGTACGTTTTAAATACTTTGGAGGAGTGTTCTTTTAAAATGTGAATATGAAAGATGGATAAAGAGTAATGAGGGAACAAGAGTGGTAGGAGAGGTGAAGATTATAAGGAAAGGAATGTTATTATGGGAGTTAAGAAGGAACAGATGGTATGTTACTCCAAGCCCCCGGCATAATGCTAGCGAAATTTGGGTATGAAAACGGGCAGAGAACACTTATTGTTAATTTGTTTTTGTATTTAAGAAGAGTAGCCGTTTAAGTAGGCTGTGTTGGATGTTAATAGTAATAAAGTATATACGAGATGTGGTAAGAGTGAAAGGGTGAGGGAATGAAAATACGTGAAGCCTAATACGATTATGACAAGTTAGATGGATCTCCGAGAATCATTTAACAAAATATATAAATAGTGTGGTAGAGATATACTATTCTTGGAAAGGAGTCTCCCTGTCAGGCGAAGCTCCTGACAAGAAATAAGACTTGCTATAAATAGTGAAGCAAAAGAAAATTGTGTTGCGCCCCCTAGTCAAAATTGTATAAGAAAATGTGACATATTTTAATAAATGTAATTTTCTTCTGCCAGACATGTTGGCAAAGATGGAGCCAAGAGCCGGTGGGAGCTGTGATCTTCCCGAGGAGTCTCTTAGTGACCATTATGACATCCTCAATATCATCAGTTACGGCAGGATGGGCAAGGTAGGTTGGGCACTAGCCTAGTGTATAGTACTGTAATTGGGGCGTCAAGACCATTCACAAAAATAACTCGGGACAGTTATAAGTGTGAAGACAATTTTTTGAGGGGTGGTAAAAACTACAAAGTATCTATATTTAACAGTTATATTGTGGAAACAAGTAATACGTCCTTTTATTTAACACTGAAAAAAATAGTGAATCTTAAAGGGTTAATCCTTTAGCTGCAAAAATCAACTTTTTCACGCAGTGCAAAATGTTTTTTTTTTCAATGCCGAGACATATTTATCAATTATTTAAATAAAATATAAATTCCGTACTTAATGCAATGTTAGGTAAATCATCTCATTATCATAGGGGCCAACTCCAGGTTATTTAGGATCACGGCACAGACAGTGAACGATTGAAACAAGCTCGCACAGCGGCTCTTCCACTAGCAGGCTCAAATAATACAGAGACCAAGTTAACGCCAATATTGCAGGCCTCAGGATCGAAGGTACTGTCGATAGAACATTCAATGTGGCGGAGACAGATGGCACCTTCAGTATGTAGCGAATCCTTCAAACTTACAAGTAGCGAGTGCAGGTACCTATTGTATAGTATATCTGTATTCAGGTCGATCTGTAGCCACATCGAAAACCTACAAGGCTTACCAAAGCCTGAAGGAATATCTAGGCACTAGGGTAAAAAAAAAGGCTCTTGCCATCTAGGGCGAGCCATCCTACACAGCAATACGGCCTCTCAGGGGCGAACTCCTAATCCCACCAGAGAAGTAAATCAGTCGATGGACGATCAGCTAAAACGAGCAACTAGGCGGGCTGCTCTAGTCACATGCAGCTTGAGGCAAAAGAATAAACAATCCGCGCAAGTGAGGCTAGGGAAAACACGCTCGTGAGGCAAATACGAAAGTCGGAAATAACACCCAAGGAAATGTAAGGACTGTGTCTTAAGAATGACCCTATACTTATCTTCAAAAGAAGTGGAATTCGCTGCAGCCGGCGATTCAGCAAAGTCCGAATTGATGGACATCAGTGATAGGACTGAGGACAAGATGGCGAGGAAGGTGGAAGCTCCTAGTGGTGCTACCACCTGTTGGTGGCCATCTGTAACTATTGAGGGGGGTGGGGGAGGGTTCGACCTTGTTTCTGAGTGAATCAGTTAGAGTAGTTTGATTACATATACGATACACGTCATACTAATTCATATAGTATAAGCCTGCAATTTTCAACGGTTGCCTTAAGAGATTTCAATGATAATAATTAATAATTCATTTTGTCATGGACATGCAGACTGTGTATATATATATACGTTAGGGTTATATCAAGGTTTCCCCCAAGGCCAAACTACTGACTTTCCCCAGGAAAGGTGGGATACCACTATCCCACAACAGTTGACTAACTCCCGGGTACCTATTTACTGCTAGGCGAACAGGTGTATTAGGTGAAAGGAAGCGTAGCCAACCATTTCTGTACCTCTCAGGATTTCCGACTTAAAGAGTCGAGAACGAATCAAACTATACTACTCAGTACTCTATTCGCCAATGGTGTACTTTCACCTCCCTCCACTAACTGTCTTGATACTGTACTGTATGTATTACAAAAACAAGTTTCATCATTGTATTTCTACGTTTCAAAAATAAGCCCTCCCTTTATGGCAATCTAAGGTCGAGAAATTGCTTCGAATTTCTATTGTTCAAATATATTCTATAACTATTTTTCTAGCATTTTAGAAGATTTACAGTCCTGTGCAATATATCAAAACTAAACAAGTGTCTGATATATTGTATATACTGTAGCACTAAATTGCTTTATTGTGCATACAAGTTAACCTTCTACAGTATTACTTAAAAGTATATATATATTGTTGATTGCTAAAATATGGCACTAATTGTCTATATTGTTGGTGGGAAATTTCATGGGAGACTGATAGAGCCATCCACGACAGAAATATGTTGACCAGACCACACACTATAAGGTGAAGGGACGACGACGTTTCGGTCCGTCCTGGACCATTCTCAAGTCGACTGAGAATGTTCCAGGACGGACTGAAACGTCATCGTCCCTTCACTTTCTAGTGTGGTCTGGTCAACATATTTCAGCTACGTTATTGTGACTGCTCGTCTGCATCCACAACAGATATATTTAGCGGCTACGCGAGTGACGGGGATGGAGGTAGCTCTGAAGGCTATATGCCGAGACATGTGCAGGCGAAGGGATGTCCAGCGTGAATACCACTATGCTTCACACCTCAACCACCCGAACCTGGCCTCTGCCACTGCCCGGCTCTTCCAGACAGATCTTTACATTGTGTTCCCCATTGAATATGCGCCCTATGGGGATCTGTGGTCTCATCTGAGTTCAAGAACCATCGATGAGGTAACAATTATTTAATGCACTTATTCTGCACAGTACCCTATTTATTATCACATCTACATTAGTGTTAACATTCTGTTGTGATTATGGCTCACCGGAGGTCAACACTCACCTCAGCAGACAATTAATAAAACAAGAAAAACAAATTGTTACAGAACTAAACTATCGTAATTACTACCAGAGCCTAAAATGGCTCTGACCATTCATTTCTGACTTTCAAGTAACAATGTACAGTTTGCAGCCTAAAGTTTGTCAGGTTTCATAAATTGCAAGATGATGCTATATAAGGTGAAATCTTTGGTTCTTAAATTCTTTAATGTTTTGGATCATAATACATTTCAGGTACAAACTCGTTGGGTAGCGGAGCAAGTAGCCAGTGCCCTAACTTATCTCCACGGGTTCCAGCTGGTGCACGGAAGCATCACCCCTGACAACATCCTCATCTTCAGACCCAACCTTTCAATAATCAAGGTCACTGACTTTGGCTCTACATGTCGGGGTGGAACATTTATGCGCCGTCAGCATTTAGCTGGACCATATAGCCCACCAGAGCTGAGTCGTGGGGAGGGTGCTGAGGGCTATTATACTGGAATCTCGCTTGACTCGTGGGCTTTGGGTATTCTCATCATTCATTGCTTAACAGGAAGCAAACCTTGGGCCACTACTGATGTTACCGACCCTGAATATGCTGCCTTCCGAAACTGGCAACAGGTAAAGTCTATCAGGGTGCCAAGGACTTTCAAAAGGTTCACTGTTCGTCTCCTACGTCTTCTGCGTCGTCTCCTCGAACCACATGGATGGGCACGATATCCTGCTAAGGAAGTATTCAAGTACCTAGAAGATGACTGGTTGATAAAATCCCGTGACAGGAGTGACAGTCAAGATTTCAATTCATCTCTGGTGTTGATGCACCACCCTCAGTCATACTCTTCAGTAAATGAAGACCCAAAGGACCCACAGCAAGAATGTGACACTCGGGAGCAGCCATCACAAGGCAGGGTCTCAAGCCCAAGACGTTTCTTGGCTGAACTTCTACGGTTCACTTCCCCGAACTCCTCGGCCAAGCACCGCCGAAAAAATCACTCGTGGCACAAATCCTCATGCTCCTCATCATCTTCCTCATCCTTCTCATGGCTCAACTCTTCTTCCTCCACATCTTCATTCAGTACCTCAACCAATTATTCATCTGTGTGATTTTGGTGATATGCTGTTACAACAGAATCAAAATAAAACTCGAGTACAAGTACCATACAGTACAGTATATAATGTTTTGTTAATATAAATGCGCTAATGACGCTTCTGTAAAATACAAGAGCTATATATAAATGGTTAACTGTACAGTTTAATAATCAGAGGGTAATTAATTGCCTTTAGATATTAGATACACCATTCATAAGTTTGTGGTTATTACAAGTTAATATACTTGAAGTCTATCATCTTTAGTGTTCTCAACGGGAACAGGAAGCTAGTGACTTGTCAATGGTCTTCCCATTATTCCTGAGAATTTGTCTACTTTTACTCTGAACAATAGTGCAATTCTGGCAATTTAGGCCTCGTAAGACAGTCTATTGGTTAATTTATTACCCTGTGATTGAAAAAAACATTTCCTGTTGTCTGTCCTTTATTGTAACTTGTGAGTTACATTGGACCTTTTATAGCAGTGATTTGGATTAATGTCTTCCATTTGTCCAGTATTTTAAATGTCTCACTAAGATCAGCCCCGGTCATGTCAGACTTACAGTGTTATTATAGTGAGGGCCCTCAACCTTTTCAGGAATGAGAGGCGATTTAGTTCTGGGGTGATTTTTGTCTTTCTGTGCTAAATCCTTTTCTGAGCGGTTATCTTTTTGAAAATGAGGTCTTAATGCATGGAAACTTTTATCCAAAGGGGAGTTTAGCCAGCCTGTGATGTACCCTTGGTGTGGCTCGTGCCCATGACATTAGGAAAGTATATCGTTCTTCGGCTGTGTTGATGAATATGTCCAAAATTTCTATTTTGAATGAACAGTATGTTAAAATTGATGAATGCATCTTTGAGGTCGACTGCTGGATGAAATGGACTTGGTCTGAGGACGGGTTATTGTTTTGATATTTTCTATTTCTGGTTACCTTCCTCTTCACTGAGAAGGTAAAAGATGGAGTGTCTTCACTGTCGTTCCCTTGAGACAGAAAAGATGCTAGAAGGAAAAATATATCAGAAATAGATTTTTCTGTGTTTGTGTGCTGCAAAGGTCATAGGTTCTGGAAGTCTAATTATTGTTCCTTAAGTAAAGGTTATAGTATTTCAGCATAAGAATTTAAAGTAATGTTTACCACAGTTCAGCCTCTCAAGGAAGAACAGCTATATAGAAGGCCTAAAAGAATTTAACTAAAGAGGGATACAATATTCAGGTTTACAGTATTACCGGGTAAATCCTTTGGTATATGCTCATGTGCAACTAATACAATGTATATTTGAGCAGGAGAGATGCTTTGTATTACAATTCAATAACAGTAACATATATCGGTGTATTTATGTAAGCATTTCTGTGGAAGTATTAATGTACAGGCCAAAATACCATATTAAATTCATGTCGAAGCTTCACTCGGCCGCCATTTCCATCTCGATCAAACCTCACAGCACTTCCACCTTACACGTTGTATAACAGTTAATGCCTCTTGCCTATCCCCTTTTGTACAATACCGATTTGATGTAAAAGGTGGATAGGCCAACTTGCCTTACTTTACCTTTAGACCACTTTATATTTGTATGCTAAATAATTAGTGATTAGCTTTAGTACTGAATGCCAATTTATATACAGTATTTTAGTGTTAGCTGTAAGATTTAAATGTAGAAACTATTGTACAGTATTTATTTAGGAATATTACTATTACCAATGCAGATTATATACGGTAGTTAAAACATTATTTTTTCAAAATCTGTTTTGCAGTGTTATTTGAAAAATACTGTGTAGTATACAATACCGATAAGCATTAAATTAAAAATTTATTGTGAACATAATTGTTGCTGCTGTTAATTTGGTAACAGAGCAAGGGTATTTTATATACTGTTTCAATGATCATTGAAATACAAATGCCCAATCAACTTTGTATTAGCACTCTAGGATAATTCTCAAAATGCAGGTAAGACCTATCATTACTGTATCTTATGTAATTTACACCTTAAATGTTACTGCACCATTTCCCATGCTCCAAGTTTTCCACTTCTATAAGTTACATGTACTGTATCTAAGTGGAATAGGAAGTAAGTTTTAACTTGCTTGCTCTATCCATTAAACAGTTCCTCTTTCAACTATTAAATAAAAAAGGCAATGGAATGTATATATATATATATATTGCCAATGCTTAATTGTTTGCTTCTATTATAAATAGAAGTTTTCAGTGCATTTTTGTGGTTGTATAGAAATATGGCTGTTTTATATGATAAAGTACTAATAAAAGCAAAAGTATTGAATGTTATATATATATATATACTGTATATATATATATATATATATATATATATATATATATATATATATATATATATATATATATATATATATATGTATATATATATATATATATATATATATATATATATATATATATATATATATATATATATATATATATATATATATATATATATATATATATATATATATATATATATATATATATATATATATATATATATATATATATATATATATATATATATATATATATATATATATATATATGTATGTATGTATGTATGTATGTATGTATGTATGTTTGTGTCTACCAATGACTATACAGTACTGCAGTTTATCAAATAAACACGACTTTGTTTTCATTCGAGATAGTTTAATAGTAAGGTACAGTATCAAAATAAAGTTTATATTTTGTTCATCCCTACAATATATTACCACACTCTTAAACAAGGGCCTGTTGTGTTTAGTTTTTCTATCGTAATGATTTGCTGACGAACACTAACATCAGTTTGACATAAGCTGACAGGTCAAAATCAAGGTTGCCATATGCATCAGAGCACCAAAAATGTATTTTGTGATATATTCAATTTTATCTTAGATTTGACAAATCTTGATAGTTTAACCTTTTGAGTTTTCAAAATGGTTACATATGATCTTGAAAAGAATGTATACATACCTACCTACATATATATATATGTATATGAATACATATTTATATAAATGTATAATCCCAATAACATCCTGTTTATATCACTCGAATGTTTTCACACACAAAAGTTTCAACCAATACTATGTACTGTACCCCAAGAGAAAAGGACTAAGACTAAGAATTCAATCAACACTCAAATTTTCATGAAAAATACTTGAGATACATAGTGCTTGTAATTAGATCTAAATATGTAATGCTGTATAGTCGAGATAAATACAAATCTGGAAATTATGGGATTATAATTCAGATATGAGTTAATATATAGTCATCAAAATAGCATTTTATATACTGTATAAATCTTCAATCTTCCATGTTATGTAAATGTGCCTTTATGTCTATATACTAAATTGTATACCAGAATGGTTTATTTTTTTGTATAAAAAGGTTTGGATTGCAAGTACAGTACATGAAGTAGCAATAATTGTACTACTATCATAACTAGTGTGCTCATTACAGCGTTAGTATAACCAGTGAATACAGTACATGAAGGACTTAAGCTAAGTATTTTGGAGGTATACATATGGAATAATCATGGCAATTATAATATTATGTGCAATGGCGATGTCTATCAAAGGTTTATATGCCAAAAAGCTCGTATGCAAATTAATTATAATTTTTTTAACTGCCTATCTAGTCATATATATTTTTATACTACAGTAAAGGGCACCATCTACTTTAATGTGGCTCCACCTCCTAAGCCAGTATATTCCAATTGCATATTACATTTGGTAAGAATTTAATAAAAAATATAGATAGGTCCTATCATCCTCATATCTTAAAACAAAAAAGTATGAGGGAATGAAAAGTGAAAACTCACCAAACAAGCTGACCATCCTAGCATAATCACTGCAGAATTAGCAACTAAATTTTGGATGCAGAATACAATAAGGCCAAATGATATGCCGACCAACAATGAATCTAAATCTTGCCACCCACATATTTTTATGTCAAAAAGGCAATTTAATCAATAAATCAAATAATTTAAAGTGAAAGCGTGATTTAGGTTCAGTAATAATGGCTAGCCAAAGTGCTACAATAAACATGCACTGTAGTGTGGCAGATAAGCCAATATTGTAAAACAAGGAGCCATGGCAGCCTTGCAAAGAAATCCAATGCAACGTTAAGAACTCGCACACAGGGTATTACAGCACATGTTTTATATGTAAATACAGGTTCTGCTCTGCTTGTGCACAGTTAAATAACAAGAATGATATTAGGCAAGCTCATTACCATTGGATTTGTTTGAAAGGCAAATGTATGTGAAACTACTGTATAAATTACTTACATGCCATGTCTTATGAATGGAAATTTATTTGTATGGAGAATTTTTTTAAATATCTATGTAGTGAAAAAGAACAATATGGACACAAGCACAAAATGTCACACACACACTCCACTTCGAGAAGAAAAGACTCGGAACAAGAACAGAAGTTGGGCAAAAAAACTACAAAACCAAACTAGGGAATGGAAACAGAAGAGGTGTCAAACAATATAAAACTACATAACAGTAAAAGGAACCCTCGAAAACAACTCTACCAGACAGAACCAATACAAGAGATGCAGAAAATGGCAGACCTGAATGTATAATAGACACATTAAGTACAGATAATAGATTGATTAAAGCACTTGGATGTTAGAAATTGTAACGTGTCATAACAGTTTGAGATGAGGATGCTTGTTATGTGCTGCTGGTGGAGTTAGGTAGGACATAGTGATGAAGGTGAAATTATGAAATTTTTTTACAGATCATTAGTGGTTGAGCATAGGTTTGTGGATGCCATTAGAAATAAATGGAAACTTTTGATTGATTGCGATAGAATTTTCTTGGAATGTGAGATTTTTAGAGGAATAACTTAAGTAGTTGCCACATTAATATCAGTTCCACAGGATAGTTCAAGAATGGTAAACACAACTACATCAAGTGTAGAAAACTCCTGTGATTTTGTGACTAATAATAATGCACATCTTTATGATGGTAATGATGCTCTCGTGCAGTTAACAGGTATAACAACAATGCCTCTTGGTGCTGCATTGTAAGTGTAGCTAAATAATACAACTAATAATAGATGAGCAATGCCCTTAGTCTCCACGAGAGCTCCCTCATGGGTAACTACAGAAAACCTAGTTTTCTTCCAATAATTGGTTTCCTTTTTTTTAATAATGTGTTATTAATTGACAAGTTCATAATTACATACCAAAGGACTCATTTGAAACATTAGGTATTAGGGGTAACTGCTTTAAAATAATTGCTACATTAAATTTGTCTAAAATTTATTGGTGTTCAAATTTAAGCCTATAATAAAAATAATACAGAAAGCCTGGTTTTTATGTTTTAACCATCCACCTTAAGCTGGAATAATGTCAGTAGTCTTTCCTATATACCACTTATCAATCTAGGTAACAAACTTGTCGACAATCTCCTCGAGGAACCATTCATCAGTAAACTCTAGATGGTTGCCATCTTGGGTGAGAAAATGCAGTTTGCCAGCCTCGTCCATCTCTTTTAGTCCCAATCGATCCTGTTAAATGTTATTATTTGAAAAGTGTCTGAGGAATATTAGTAATTTCAAGACAACAAGAACTGACAACAAAATGTATGTACAGTTTTTTCATTAACTACCTTTGCTATAGTACAGTATATTAATAAAATAAATAAATAAATGTTTATTTAGGTAAGGTACATACATACAAGAGATTTTTACAAAAATTGTTAGGCTTATAGATAGAGCTGGTACATACAATGCCTAAAGCCACTATTACGCAAAGTGTTTCGGGCAGGAAAAACATTATTATTTAATATACTGTATGGTGTATGTTATATTGAAGTACTGAGTACTGATTCACAGTACTTCAACAAAATACAATTTAATAATCACATAAAACTTTGGAATACAGTGTATTAATATTGTAAACACCAGGATCCCTAATGCACAGTTTTTAGGTTTAAACAAATAACATCACGGACTAACATTATACACTATAACTAAATCATAATGGAACACTAGACCACTGCTAAGTACACTAACCTCCAAGTAGATCTGTGACTGCTGGAGTGGCAGAACTTGCACATCCTGGCCTGGTGTATAGAAACCAAACCACTCACTCTCTACTGGCACCACCATAGTGTCTGCTAGGAACTTCACCATCACAAAGTTGTCCAATTTTTTCAGGTTATTACGATAATCTACATTCAGTACCTGTAAGTATAATGTGTATCTAATGCAAATACTCTAATACAAGATGCCCAATACAAAATATTCAGGTCACCCCTTGAAGGATATTAGTTACTTAAAAGGAAAATGGCATCAAATTTAATGATAGAGAGAACATTATTTAGTGTTCTAAATTCACACAACCGTCACATAATATTAATGGTTTTATTTTTCCCAACAAAAAATGACTTTCAGTGCTATGGGGTTAAACTTGTCTTAAGGAAATCATAAATACTAACATAGGCCTCTATGTAGTAATAATTTTTCCCACAAAATTATCATATGAACTCTAGCAACCAGCAAAGTGCTATGACTGATGCCCAACCACTGTCATATTACTTAACAAAAGCGGTGGGAGGAAAGTATACATTTTATATTATTCAAATGATTGTAATTTCTGTACATTATAAACTAAAGCTGACCTCCTCATTGTTGATGTCAGCCAGGAAAATGGACTTGTTGCGGTAATCGTCATCATGCAGAGGGTCATGCCAGTACTGTGCTTGCACTAAGGAGTTTTGGATCCAGCTGCATAAAGAACATATTTGATAAAATTTACAGTATGTATAGCTTTCTATTTGCACAGTTCTTAGAGCCAAATAAAATATTCTCAAACTGAAAATGAATGAAATAAACCATGAACTAAATATTTCATTATTATAACACTAACACAGACACATCATATGAAGACAACAAGCAAAACGATTACAAGGAAGATATCGAACACATTGCAGATGCAGTAAAAGGAGAGGAAGGAAATATGTGCAGAAGGAGAGGGAGGAAATATGAGCAGAGATGGAAAAGATGAAGATAAGTATATATAAGATAAGTATCAAGACAACTTGAAAAGTCCCCCACCATCCCAGTGCAGATTGCCAACCTACCGTAACTGCATGCAATTCTACCCTGGCATTAGCAGGATCTTGCCTTAGGGAGCAATTGAGTAGGGTACCTCCAAAAATGTCTTAGATTTATTACTTATAAATCTTACTTATAACTTGAAACAAAAATAAAAATAAATTTTACTAATTATGATATTTGACTTAAAAGTGCATTTTAAAAAATTTGAAATATTAAATGCTGTTAATTCACAGTTCTATTGGTCATATAATTTTGTTTCATATGCATTAATTGAAAAATTCAGTCCTGGGCTGTTAACCAGGTTAGAAAAATGCTGTCCTTAAAGGGTTAATTAGCAATGGTAAAGTACATTTGTCTGAAAACTATACTGTACTATAAATTAACTTGATGAATGAATGAATGAAGTTGATGAACATCCATCAGAATGACGAGTACAAGTTATCAGTGCAGTTCCCTGATCGATATACTGTATAATACATTTATATAGGTATTTTTATACTTACTGTATATATGATCCATAATTCAGCACCTTGCGAATATATTCACAGGTACGAGACTGCTGTGGGCTTTCTGGACAAGTTGGCAAGCCAAACACACCCTGATGTTGCCCGCCAAAAGTGATTAAATTCTTCATAGGAGGGTTTGGACAACGTTCCGCCACCGCACGCCTGCACACAACTGACACCATCACCACCAAACTCTAAGCACTATAAGACTATACATTATAAAGCAGAAACAAACAATTCAACAAAAAGATAATACACAGACAAAAAAAAATTAGGGCTGAAAAACATTTTATTGTTTGAACTCAATGCAAAAGCACAAAGTAGCAGCAGCTACATGTAATTTCAACTGTTAATTGGTCTAAATATTTCATGGATTTTTACATTACATCCAAGTGGCTGCTTTTAAAGTCATAGGACCTTATATAACATTACATGATTTGAGAATGTTTTTCTAGGTACATCGATGGAGGTCACCTATCACTGTTTTATCATGAAGCAGCTGCTATAGACTATTGCAACAAAAGAGTTAAACAATATTGGTAAATACAACATTCATATTTGCACATGTAATATAAATAAGTTGGGAGAAATTATCTATCTACACACAGAGCACGCCACCACAGGCAATTTGTGATTTTTACTAAAATTACCAATAGATTTTTACTAAATCCAGCAATCTTTTTGAACACTGGCACACACATTCTCAACCTTAGCCCAAACAATAAGCTTCAATTTAGGCTACATCATTACTTAATGTACGCTCCCATGTCGAGTAAGCGTCGTACTTCCTCGCAGATCAAGTCATCTGGAGAACAGTTGGGCAGGCCAAACACACCTTGATGCTGGGCACCAAATGTGATAAGGTTATGCATGGCTGGTTCAGGACAACGCTGAGCCACAGCACGGCTACGTGGATTAAAAATGTCAAATTTATCAATAAAACAAGCTTGCCATTCTCTGTTTGTGGTTTTGATTCACATGTAGTGAGGAAACAATATACTCGCTCCACACAAATGCTGATCTTGTCTCCCCAAAAATGCATAATGCTCACGAAAAGAAAACTTTTGCCTACTCACCAAATAAACTTCCTAATTTGTCTGTTCAGCCATGTCTTTTCATTACTCCATGGACCCAGTCTGCTGCTGCTCCAACAATGATCCTGCCATGATATAAGGTCTACCCATTGACATTTCACAATCTTAGCCCTTGCAGTAATGTCTTTTAACTTTAGTTTTGAATCAAATCGGCATTTTTTGGGTGTACGAAGTTTGTTAATAATTTGTGTATAGTATTTAATCATAATTTTATAATCACAGATCAATTAACTCCTAAATGACTGTGGAAGTGTGGGGGTGTATTTCTTTTCAATTTATGACTGTAGTTATAAGTTATGTAGTGTAAGGGTGATGAACTTCCTTTACTGGTGAACTAATTTACCTTGACCAGAGTGCATGGGGGTTATATGTAAAACTTGGACTGGCTTCAGTGGAAGCTGCCAGACTTCCTGTGGATTCAATGGAATCCTAGTTTGTGTAACTTATACCTTGTCATGGTACTGGGGTAAGGTGCATCGCTAGAAGTACCCTGATCGCTACCTTGAGTCACCTCAGTGCTCCCAATTGATCTTCTCATTATTGGCAACAAATATTTAAAATGAAAGACAGCAAATTTGAAGACTCACAGGAACTGGCCTCCTTGTGAGAACCCCATAGCATGGTATCCACCCTGAAGCTCTGTATCGTTGGCTAAATTCTTGCACACCTCGTCTACTTGCTCATTTACATTTCCCAAATAACTGTTCTCTTCATCCTGACAAAATAAAATAAAAATGTATGGATAAATCTGCATTAGGACAATCAGAGGAGTTGTCCTCAGTATATTTCACAATACACATAAAAATAAAGAACTGAGTGTAATTAACTTTTTTCATAACATGACCTCTATTATGCTCCCATAGAATGCTTGTAAATGATTCACCCAGGATTTATGTCACCCTTCAGGAAATCCTTGCAAGAGGTTCTGCCACACATCTTCAGAAGCAAGTCTAACTTTAGACTTTAGTAGTTTTAGAGTAATAATTGATGCTCATGGTACTTTAAAATTTTTGCTTACAGGGAGGGAGGGGGATTTTGTTGTTTGTTAATTTTTATAATACAGTGAGTGAGTACGCTCATTGCTGGTTTAAGTAAGACTTGCTACTATCTCATTTCACGTGATACTTCATGAGATCATTTGCCAAGATGTACAGTAAATCTTACTGTACATCTTGATTTACTGTATCAAGTATCTTGATTTACGTATTTAGTATCAAGTATCTTGATTTACGTACAGTATCACGAAAGGCAGAAAAATATCAAGGACCTGGTGGGGTGATACAAGTCCAGGTTGGATCATAGGAACTGTCTATGGGAGCATCTAATGATCTTTGCTAAGACAAAAATCTATTTTAATAGTTGCTTCCAAGTTCCTTGCATGGTTTTCATACACTGACATTTTTGTTAATTCATGCACAGTAATGCTACTCATACACTATACAGGTAAATATACATATACTGTACAGATAAATACTTTCTGACATGCCTCATTTTTTATAGGATCATACATAGTCATACCAATACTACATTAGTCCAACTAAAAAAAATATAGCAAAAATGGGTCATTGGAGGTAATATACATTCATTAATGTTAATACAGTATTCTGGAGGATACGTCCATACGTTTACGATTTACTCACAGCAATGATATTACTTCCAATCATGAGGGACCTAACATAGATCCCAGGGATCCGTTCTTCCACCAGTTTCTTGATACGTCCCATGCTGAAGGAATAACAGCATGTGTCACCTATAAAAAGGAACAATAAAATTTTAATAATTTTTCAACTACAGTACAGACATAGAACCCCTATACAAAAAATGAAATAAAATGCAAGGAAAACTAGATACACAATGTTTTGATACCAGCTGATAAAGGGAGGTCGAGGGCACTATCACTAGTGGCCTCGATGAGGACAGGAAGCCGGTAGCTTGTCGAATCCCCCCCCCACCTATTTGCCTTGATGATCTTACCTAGTTGAATTTTAACATTTAACTGAGTTTTGCCATTTATGGCTCCTACAGGTAAGCAGTTCCACAGGTTTATAACCCTGTGAGTGAAAAAGCATCTGTTCTCAGTCCTACATTGCGGCTTCTTGAGCTTGAAACCATTGCTCCTTGTTTGTATTACATCTGACCTTTTGAAGAATTGCCCTTTGAATTGTAACTGTCTTTATTTAGTTAGTTTAACTAACTTTAAATGCAGTGATTCTTTAGAATTGTATTTAACTGAACTGTAATATACTATATAAGCTTCATTTCACTCCTGTAAAGTTAAATTCTTGCAGCAGAAGTGTTCCAACACAAGACATTTTCAAGACAAGACACACATTTGCCCAAAACGCTATGCGTGCTAGTGACTTTACAATAATGTTAATTCAACTTATTGTCTATATTCTCTTTTAACCCCCAATGTAACTTCTTATATATAAATAAATATATAATAAATAAATAAAGAATGTAAATTCAACTTAATTTCCATATTCTCTGTTAATCCCCAATGTACCTTTTTGTATATAAATAAATAATAAATAAAGAGTCCCATGCAGGATGTTAAACATTTCGTTGTTTCCTTTCACCTAGCAGTAAATATGCACCTAGGAATTAGGCACCTGTTGTGGGGGTGCATCCTGGGGAAGGTCAGTCTTTGGCATTGTGGGGCCTCGATAAGTCTAACAAAGTTCCTTTTCCTGGCAATGGGGAACCATACACAAAATAAAGCAAATCTATGGGATCCTTGGGAAATACTGTACATGGAGGGGGACCGAGTTATCTCGCACATTTTGCACTCTGATAACCCTAACCTAAACTTGTGCCAATTTGGTGATCACATTTTCAACACGATACAAATTATAGTCAATATTGGATTACAATATAGAATGTTCAAATTGTGTCAAAGAGGTGAGATTGTTAACTAACATCAATCAAAAGGTTAGACAATGAACTTAGTAGTGTAAAGCTTTGAATAAAACAGTAATGTAACCATTATCACAGAATGATGTGTGCGTCACTCAGCCAGCCAGGGTAAGAACAGTTTGGTCTGGCCAATAATTGAATGGGTGAGCACACTGAACACTTTACCCTTCAATTGGGAATTCATTGTATTCTAACAAACTTCCAGCCCAAGACAATGCTATACCATATATACGGCATACTGGCAAGGGTATACCAGTACCCCCCTTGTCTTACCCACACCAGTCCCCCCCCCTTTGTATTACCCATGCCAGTCCCCCTTGTCTTACCCACACCAGTCACCCCTTGTCTTACCCACACCAGTCCCCCCCCCTTGTATTACCCATGCCAGTCCCCTTGTCTTACCCATGCCATGCCAGATGACGACGGGTGTGGGGGGGTCCTGAGGCAGGACACCCCCCAGGACACACAGGGCAGCTACCACACTCCACCACACCATCATGCCACCTCTCCCAGCCTCCTTCCCACGGTATATGTAGCCTCTCACCCCCTCCCTCCCTCCCCTGGTGATGCTCTCCCTCCCACCTCCTTCCCTCGCTGACTCCTCCCCTTTCCACTGTTCTCACCTAGTTGTGCTTGCGGGGGTTGAGCTCTGGCTCTTTGGTCCCGCCTCTCAACTGTCAATCAACAGGTTTCTGAGCCTACTGGGCTCTGTCATATCTACACGTGTAGATAACCCATGTCTTCTATGTTAAACAATGATGTTTTGTTGACTTAATTGTATTTTTGCTTTTTTTCTGCCATGTTCCCCCCCCCCCCCCTTTTTCCATTTTTTCTTCTTTTTTTCAACACAATTTATACTTTAATCTCAATTAGTATTAAGTTTTAGTCTTAGTGTTTTTCCTGCCCAAACCGCTTTACGAAATAGTGGCTTTAGGCATTGTATGTACTAACCCTATCTTTAAAACCATCAACTTTTGTATCTAACCTTGTATGTATGTACTCTACCTGAATAAAAATTTGTAATTGTTCGTGAAACTGTGTATGGAGTCAGCCTCCACCACATCACTGCCTAATGCATTCCATTTGTTAACTACTCTGACACTGAAAAAGTTCCTTCTAACGTCCCTGTGGCTCATTTGGGTACTCAGCTTCCACCTGTGTCCCCTTGTTCGAGTATCATCCGTGTTAAATAATCCATCCTTGTCTACCCCTGTCAATTCCCCCCAAGAATTTTGTATGTGGTGATCATGTCTCCCCCAGTCTTCCAGTGTCGTGAGGTGCATTTCACGCAGCCTTTCTTCGTAAGTCATGCCTCTTAGTTCTGGAACTAGTCTAGTGGCATACCTCTGAACGTTTTCCAGCTTTGTCTTGTGCTTGACAAGTTACGGGTTCCATGCTGGGGCTGCATACTCCAGGATTGGTCTTACATATGTGGTATACATATACAAGGTTCTGAATGATTCCTTGCACAGGTTCCTGAAGGCAGTTCTGATATTAGCCAGCCTGGCATATGCCGCCGATGTTATTCTTTTTAAGTGGGCTTCAGGAGATAAGTTTGTGTCATATCATCTCCTAGATCTTTCTCAGTCTGTTTCATGAAGGACTTCGTCTCCCATTCTGAATCTTGTGTCTGGCCTTCTATTTTCTTTCCCTAGTTTCATTACCTTACTTGGGTTGAGTTTGTTTAGGTCATCTTGTAGCCTCATACTATCTTCCTCTGTCTTAATCCTCCTCATAATTTTTGCATCATCAGCAAACAATGAGAGCATACCTGTGCATACACCTTCCCCCCCCCCCTCCCCTGTGCTGACACCCTGCTCCCAGTGCTGACTCCTTACTCCCCCTCCCCTCCCCTGTGCTTATTGACATTTTAAGGTCACCTTCTCGAGTGTCCCCAATAAGGGACACTGTTAAGGCCACTCGAGGTGATTCTCAGGTAAATTCAGGTAAATACAATATAGCAAAATAGGTCACAGAATGCAGACGATGAGTCATAATAACGTGGCTGAACTATGTTGACCAAACCACACACTAGAAAGTGAAGGCACGACGACGTTTCGGTCCGTCCTGGACCATTCTCAAGTCGGTTGTGTGTCGGCCACAGAATACTAAAAAAATTCCTAAAAATCGTTCAGTGTATCAGTATGTGAGAGGAAATATGTGTGATGTTAAAGGAATTGGATTCTTACATACAAAGATTTTATTTAAGAACACATGACTTGAAGTGGAAAAGCAAAATTTACAATCATCCTGAAAATCAGGATTTTCCTTGTGGTGTGCTGTTCCCACAACAAGCTTGTTATCTTCCTTATGCTATCGCTTTTTATCAAGCTTACATTTTTCCACACCAGATGAGAGACGAGTTTACCAATATAGTAATAAGCAAATAAATAAAATACATGACTAACTTAAATCACCTTTTATGTAGAAACTGGTCTCTCTTCATTAATATCTTCTGTTATTTCAATCTTGAAATTTAATATAAGGTTGTACAAAGGTATAAAAGTCTATATAAAGCAAGGCTCTAGACAAGGTCACATTCACATCTGTGGGGTTCTCATGCTTTATCAATGGTTGTAGAAAACAAAAAATCCCCAAGGTTGGTGGCATGAACTAGAAAACCTAACATAGACCTATGCCAACCAAATATTTCATGTATTGACCATATCATTTCTGAGATGCCTAGTGCCAAATGTATTCATCACAGCAGGAATGTTGTCATGAATACTGTACCATCATACCATGCCACTTCATGTGTTGGAATGTCATCCTGCTCTGCTTATATTGCCACACTGGATAATATCTCCACTTTATTCTTCTTTGTTTTAGAAGCATATGATGGCAATGATGAGTGTGGTTTATGAGTATGGCTAACTCATAGAAGAATAACCCCACATGCCCTACTGGAGATGGAATTAGAAAACTTAAAATTAACAGAAAGAAAATTCACATTGCCTTACAGGAAAAAATAACAAAAGTTTTACCAAAAAGGGTAAACCATTATTGTCTTGTGGAGAAAGCAAATCTCCACAACTTAGCACAATACATGTAAACTTAAGACTTGTGTTGGGAAATATGTACTGAGAAGGCTAAAGGTTTTGACAAATAAGTTAAAAAAAAAAAATACTTCTTTTAAACTGACTCATTCACACACTGCCACCTAGCCACTTTCCTACTACATGAATAATTGAGCACTCTTAGTGCTCAATTATTCCATTCTTGCTTACCATATTGGTAAGCAAGAATTACCATATTTGCTTTCCTGTCTTTCTATATTGAAGTTCACCGAAGTAAGTAAGTAAGTAATTATCAAAAGAAGGCACCAAACCGGGAAGGCTATGTAGCACCATCAAAGACGCAAAATAATCAGAGGGCGCTAAATATCACCAAGGATGCCAATCACCGAAGTAAGTCTCCATTTAGTATGATCAGAACCCTTTCCTCAACCTTATAGTTCCATCAACATCTGCACACATCCTTCCATAAAAATTTCGTCTTAATTCTTCTAACACCACATACAATATGCTTCTCATTATGTTAATTTCTATTGCTGTAATTTTGTCGTGTCCATCTACCACTTCTAATAAAGAAGGCCAATAATAAATTATATATTACATTATTTGATTTTAAATGAACTAGTTTTTTTGTGTGATATGAAGGTTTAATTATACATATATCTTCCTTGTCTTATACACCTTTAAAATATTGGCATAAAACAATTATTCCCAGGTGAAAATAAGCACCACATGGTCTTTTATATTTAATTTAATTACAATATGTTTGACAAGTTGCTAAATCAAAACTGTATATCCTATAAAACTATTTACACATTATTGAACTGTCCATTTTCATATTATGAAGTGGGGCACCACTGCATATTAACAAATAAGAACTTCCAGCTGCATATCTGCAGCCAATAGTCAAATCAAAACAAACGGGGGGGAAAAATTGTACACCAATTTGTGAGTACTGTCCCAACATGTACATACAATGATAGATACCGATATATACTCCTATAAACAATATGAATACTTCATGGGACCAACAGATTATCCCCTACTATATATATATATTTTATTTTTTTGTTTCTCTATCTCTCTGTTTTGATGCTTGTTCTACAACTGCATTCAAGAAATACAGTAACAAATGCAAGCAGAGATAGTGACCTAACAGAATACAGAAATGAATATTTTTAGTGTTCCCACCTCCAAGAAACTAACTTTTGCAGCCACTAAATAAAGTAGACAATACCTTACTTAATCTTTCATTTCTGTATTATGACAAATTGGTTTATAGTAGAAGTGCAAAATATTTTGGACTTTACATTTATGGAAACATTTCTTCAGCACCAACATTTATAAACAAATATTATCTCGACATAATTTCCATAAATTATTTACATACCATGCATTGGCAACATGCTTATATTTTTGTCTTGGGATATCCTTTATTTTTACAAATTACAATATAGACCGATATAAACAAACAAAACAAAATCACACAACAACCAACACCCGCGCACACTGGGATCCCTCTATAATGCACTACAGTTGAATGGCACATCATAGTTTAATTTGGATTTGAATAATTATATTGAAGCACCTCCTTGCTGAATCTATCAGTGTTAACCTTCAAGTGAGGCCTGTCAGATCTTGAAGCATCACTAACCTTGAGCAAGGGCTACCAATTAACTTATATACAAGGCATAAATAAATAATAAACAAATAAATTTGTAAGCATTCAAATGCATTCTAATCTCAAATAAATTTGAGATTCTCAAATAATCAAAATAAGTGCTAGCTACTATATAGCTAAATATCACGGCATAATTGGATACAAAATGTCTAGATATTACTCAAGAGGCCAATACCCCGAGCAGAATTCGTAAGTTTATCTATATTAAAACAGTCTGAATCGCTGAGAATTTTATTGAGAAACAATGCATAGAGACAGCCGAGAAGCGATAGTTGCCGTCTCAATATTTCACATAGACCAAAAACATCTTTTAACTTTAATTGCAACACATTTGCAATAATCTTAACATTTAATCAGTTATTGCAAAATATTAACAACCAATCTTTGAAGTGTAAACATCATTTAAATCCAGGTTTGACTTGTTTAAACAGACCTACAGAGCTGATATTATAAAACCTAGAGAAACAAAAAACAAAACTGGAGTGCTTTAATGAATCTGAATGTTTTTTATGACATTAAAGTGTCTTACTTTAAGTGGCAAATAGTAAAGAGGTAACCAGCTATTATAAGTTGAAATACACAGTTTCTTGGAGGTGAGAGTTACGGTACATAGAATTTCAAATGAAAGCAAAGTACATGATATATGTTTAATTGAAGTCCTGGATAACATGAGCTTTTATAATTTATGGATAATTTACAGCTTTAAAACAGCTGCTCCAGAGTCACAATAATCCGTTAAAAACAGCTGTATGCATTTATTTTTATACATTACAAAACTTGCAAGAAATATAAAAATAATTATTCTGTACTTAATAAAGAACTGAAATATAACAAATCATTTTTTCTTTGTTAGAATTTTCAAATAAATACGAGTGATAAAAGAAGATTATTGTTGTAAGGGTGCAGCTCCATCACTGGTATACGAGGCTGCCCGACCAACGGACACACTACCATCGCAGGTGAGACTTGTTGAACAATATGAACCTGTAAAACAAGTGTTAAATTAAGTTTTTTGTAATTGATTTAACATAGAACAATATTAATAATAAAACACATTAATGAAAACTACTTGTAAAACGAACAAAAATCCATGTATTAAAATTATGTGAAGCACAAGATACTCAAAAGCAAAATAGGACAAAATTTAAGCAATTACTGTAATCAGGACCATAATAATAATTTAAAAACCTACAAGCTGTGTTTAAAATATTATAAAAAACACATTTTATTAACAAGCGATGTCGAAAATCTTGTATCGAGACAACGAATCACAATAGAGTGGCTGAAGATATGATGACCAAACCAATGTATGTTATATGCAGCAGTTATTAAATTTAAGGTAGTGCTGTATCTTTGACAACATTTGTCTCACAAATATGACAATAATATATATCGGTAATGCCTCTATAATTCTGACTCTTGAATTTAATACAAAATAAACATGTTTACAAAATGTTATTTTTCTTCCCTCTGCACTAAATATGCTTTAAAAATTACTATATAAATTTTGAAAAGATGTACAAAATTTATTTTTCCAACTAAATTACCTATGATTCAATTTATGTAGTTTTGATAGCCCAAATTTTGTGACAAATTTGACCATGTTGAGAAACTAGATGAATCTCTTTAACAGATCAAGTTTAACAAAACACTTACATATACACTAAAGTATTTATTTAAAAAAACCTGCCCCCCAAAACAAGAAATAACCAAGTTAATGGCATGTGGTGATGACGTAGACTCACCACACTGTGCTGCTTAAGATCGTAGGTGTGGTTTCTTCAACTGTATGTATCTGTAAGGTTTCAATGCAAACAAACGGTTAATGAATCAGCAGGACAAGGAGCTAATACTTCTAGGACTTAAGTTAGGATCATGTTAATGTCAGAAATAATCACACTACATTGAAGGAAACATTTAACTTAGAAGTCACCTTATGATGGAAAGCAAATGCAAAATAATCATTTGAAGTGCAATCAGGGCATTATACACGAAAAAAGGAATACAAAAACTTAATAATATGCTGTCCCAAGGAAGCTTGTCACTGGAGCTATGCTCTATGCCTATATATCACAGGTAGATTGTAGTATAAAAACAATAGACAACAATTTTAGTTAAAGTGAGAGTAAAGAACGTGAAAGTTTAGTTATAATCTAATATTTAATAGGCTTAAAAGAAGTGAACAATTAGCGAGAGGAAGTATCGGTAAAAGGTAGAAGACAAAAGGGAGGAGGCAAAATGGGGACTAGGAATGCAAAGGAGGAACAGAAAGGCAAAAAGAAGAGAGGAATATCGAGGGAGTGTGCAAAGAGGAGGGAAAAAAAAAGAGGGGAAAGGCTGGTGCAATAATTACAACTATTCAATAAAGACATTTTACAGCTCACAATGCATGCATGGATAATTCCTAACATTTTAATAGTATATAAAGATAATTATACACAATCATTTGGAGAATATTAAGGCAAAGCTTCCCTGCAACATAAGAGCAAAATGAATATTTTCCATCTTGGGTGACTGTTTTAGTAAATAAAGAAAACAAACAGGTGTATAATAATAATAATTAACATTAAAATAAATTGAGCTATGGTATCAATCTCACTATTAAGAACCCCACACTAAAATTCTACGACGAACATCAAACATGAATCAATCTAATATTAATAAACATTACTATATCTTGATAAAAAGATTTTAAACAAAATACTAAAACATTAATATTAGTATATAACATACTATAACTTATCAATCAACCAAGTTTTCAAACGTCATTTTTTTCAGTTCTCTCGATTACAAATTGAATAGAATCTCTGATACACCACCCTGCTTTTCACCCTGTGGTGAAAAGGAACCAGGTTCTGGCTCAGGTCTCGGATAGACAATTAAAGACTCCCAAGACCAACATGACTCGTATGTTGCCTTATCCGAGTGAGTTATGGCTACAGTGAGCTACAGCGGGCCATTGTTTAGCTCATCCAGAAAACAATAGCAACTGTGTGCCTTACTTAAAAAGGACTTCACTCAATGCCTATTTCTACCTTCATTTGTCCTTTCTAGTTTCTCCAAGTTTTCTTTTAATTGCTTCTTGTTCTCTGACAATGAGAACTGCCATTCTGTTTCACACCATTCAGAATCATCTAATTCTCACACCAACTAAATCTTCCATAAACAGAGAGACACTTTTGTAGCAAGACGATCAACTACCGTCAAGTGCATGGAGAGTGTGCATCATCATGATGCATAAACAATGGTCAGTTAAAACATTTAAGGATATTTTGAACTGAATGATGTGTTGATCATTGGAACACAAGAGTGTTAAAGTGCAAGAATAGAAAAAATACAACTGGTTAGAACTCAATATGCTGAGTCGGTCCAATTTTGTCATGGCTCTCCTAAAAACTTCATATTCTTTTCATGATTTTCAAAAACCATTTGATTAGTAAAATCATTCCACTATTTAAAGACTGAACTGTATAATCATGTGATGCACGATTATACAGCTAGTCAATAATGCATTTTAATCACACTACACATTCACTAAAACATAAAAGAAGATCTTGCAATTATTTTAAGTACACTTACCTATCGAGTTTTTCCCAAAACTCCAAGAATCTAGCTCTGTCTAAATGTCGACGAACGCGGCTCAAGCCGATGATGTGCACAGCCCACTTAGAAATGTTGTTGTCTAATTTCATTTCCTCAAACTTAATATGAAAAGCACAAACTGCAAAAAAATTTCTTCTATTAGCAACATGTTGACTAACCTTATACAATATTAGATAAACAAATTCAAATTAGTTTGAAACAACTGGGCCCTTTTACCATAAAAAAAATGTACAGCAACAGAGAAAGTTAGAATAACCGCATATTTCGGCAAGAAAAACATATAATGTACATCATTAAAAACAATTACTGTATTTCTGTCAGGAACAAGCTAGTAAGAAAACTTGTATATTAAAAACTGTTTTTGACAATTTGAAACAAAATTCTAAATAAGAGTCCAAGTGATTTTTTGTTATAAATAATGCTGAAGTCCCAAGAAAGATTTTTCCCTGCATGAGCCTATTATACAACTTACTTCTATTGAAGATCTCTACTGGATTGCCATCATGGGGCCAGCCCTTGAACTGCCATGCTGGACCCATGGCAAATACTGCTACAACTCGATCCCATTCAGCATAGTTCAACTTGGATGGATTATCTGTGACACGATATGGTACAGTGAGACCCCCAGCTTTGGGGCGTTGGATGAGGATCTCCGTTTCACGTTTGGTGCCTTGCTGTCGTTTTTCTTCATTAGAGACGAATCTGGAAGAACACAAATATTTAAGCAAACCCATTCCAGATTCAAAAAATAGCAAGTAAAAAATCCATACAATCCTGAAAGGCAAGAAAACAAATCACAGCTTCACAGAACACAACATGCTTGACTGTAAGTGGATAAACACATGCAAAAGTAAAGTGAATGAAGTGACACCTGCTGAATTAAAACGAATGCTGGAAGAAAGTTGACTGACAAGAAGCATATTGTAGAAAAGCTTGCCAGAATTAAAGTTGTATAAATAAGGAAGTTGAAGAAAGTTAATTTGAAGAAATAATGAAATACTCAAAGTGTGGAATTATTTCTAGTAATTCATTTATACAACATAAGGTTTGGAAGAGTGGGAAAAAGTCTATACCTGTAACTCACTTAGCTCAATACATTATAACTATTTATGAACACAACACATCCTTTCTCTCAATTAAAAATATTCCATCAATTCAACTTACTTCATATCTTGCAGTAGATCCTTTGCATTGAGCATTGTGATTAGCGACGAAGGAGAGCTGGGGACAATTATGATGGGGGTACGCGATGGCTTCTTCATTTGCTGACCAGGTATAGGCTGGAATTATCAATTATCATCAAAATTAGCAAAATCCATATAAAAATATAAATTAATGCCCTCAACAACTATTACCAAAAATAAAACAAATATATCACAGCAATTGAAAGTACAGTACAGTATTAACTTTTTGACGACATGTACCAAAACTTCTGGCACTTCAGTTTCAAATGCGACACATGAAATTATCATTTCATTTGTCCTAAATACAAAATGAATTTTTACTTCTGAAATAATGCATATTTACGTCTAGGAACAGAAATATCATGATAAAGATAAATCATGATAATATAGATATAATCATGATATAATATAGATATAATCATGATATATAAAGATAATATCATGATAAAGATAACTTGCATCACAACAAACCTTAGTCTGGGGAGCAAGATCGGGCTGTGGAGCCATCTTGTGACTCTGGCTGCCTTCCGTCACACTCTTCAGAGACAGACCGTGATAGGTACGCATTGTATCAATTTTGAAGCCCTCAGTTTCTGAAAAATAAAATTCCGTGATCAGTAAGTTTTTACAATTTTTACTCAATTGCCTAATGAATTTAACCATCTGACTGACTGTATATTATGTGTTTTCATTAAAGCACATGAAAACATAATACATATCATGGAAGTGAATATTTTTGCTCATGATGGACTGTTGGAATCATAATATAGTGGGACCCCACTAGAATGAACCACACTTAAAATAATTCAACTGAGGTTCAAACATTCTAATCCAGCATGTAGCTTAAACAACAGAGTATACTATTCCATTCACCTGTACTGTAATTCCTGAAAAGTACAGTATATGACACTCGAGTCAATTTTTTTTTAATAATTAAGATTAAAAACATATGGTATGATTTAGCATACTATTAGTCAGATAACACTTAAAATAATTCAACTGAGGTTCAAACATTCTAATCCAGCATGTAGCTTAAACAACAGAGTATACTATTCCATTCACCTGTACTGTAATTCCTGAAAAGTACAGTATATGACACTCGAGTCAATTTTTTTTAATAATTAAGATTAAAAACATATGGTATGATTTAGCATACTATTAGTCAGATAAGAATGTTAGGCCTATTTAGGTCCTCCTAACCAAAGACAAGGATGTCCATGTAGCCACTCATTCAGTTACGGATCTGACCCAACTGTGCTTAACCTGACAAACTGTGTGAAGCACTGTGCCAGGCCTTTAACTTGTTAACATTTGCAAAATAACTTACCTTCTTTGCCCTTAAACCTTTCCTGGTCGTAACGGGAGTAACCGGCAGGCTGTTGTGGCACTCTAGAGACTGGTGTTGGCACAGGATTTGGAGCCGTTGATCTCAGACGACCCTCCTCACGGGCCTTGATTGACTTGAGAAGCCCCATTATGCTTGTTGCAAATTGCTGAGGACAATTTTATAATTATAATCTTGTTTCAACACTCCAATTGCTCAACTAATAGTTTTATTAGGATTATTTTTCAAATGTTTCAATGCAATCATATTTGTTCGATACTTTATAACATTTTTTAAAACCGCTTAATTTTGCCGAAAGTGTGATTTCAAAAAGAAATGGTGAAGTTCAATAAATATCCAAATGGGACATAAATGTTATGTACCACAGCCTAGTCACATCTTGATTAATAACTTTACCCACTCTTACTATACTCTATATACTTCACCTTTTCTTCTCTGTATATTTCATGCCAAAAAGAAAGTTTTAGTTACTTCATTACAATTAAGTTTAATACTTCTTCACATTAACTCCTTACACACACTCAACATTACAGTATACATCTTACATTATCATGGGTTAACAATATAAAGCGCACAATACTTACTTTACCCGAACTCTGAAGAATAGTTGTTCTTGTTCTCCACTGACGTTCCTTTGTAGTAATATCTTTGGTGACATCAATGTCAAACTCTAGCATACTACGCAAGTCTGTACCCAGGCCAAAGTCATCATCATCCTCCTTAATCATTGTTCTCTTGACAGCCAAACGTTTTGCTTTGATGGCGGCAATTTTTTCAATTGACATTGCTTCAGACAAGGACCTGTAAAATTAAATTATCAAATTAAAATTATAGAACTCAAAACATCTTTACAAACCGAGCATCTGATTCCAGGTTTAGATGGCTGCACGATGATGTTACTTTCCTAATCCATCACACAAGTGCCAAGTGACTGGTATTTCACAATGTTAAAATATTTAAATTTGTTTCCTTAATGATAATTAATCCCAGATCACAGTCAAAATCAATGCTTTAATCACACACAGAGATCACACTAACGTGATGCATCAAATGAACAAATCCACAAGGACCGTGACGAGGATTCGATAGCTCAGTCGATTAGGGCATTGTCTGGGATGCTCCCGGACACAGGCTCGAATCCTCATCACGGCCCTTGTGGATTTGTTCATTCGATGCTTTAATATTTCAATGAATAATTGCTAATTCCATGAATTTGTATTATAGCCCTCAGATAGCAGTAAATTATGTGACTGAAGTATCCCATAGAATCTTCGGTGTGCATATCAGTCACACCTACATTCTAATATTACTGTACTGAACATAATACTGCTACTGTACCTATCAATATTGCTGACAATGGAAGACTTCTTTGGAACATCAAAGCGAAGAGCAAGATGCTCCTTAATTTTCTGTACATCGCTGTCATCATAACGTGGCTTCTTGGCTGTAATGTCTGATGCATCCTCCAGTGTTCGCTTCACCTGCAATAAGAATCCATGATATAAATTTTGGAATACTGTACATCGAGGCTAAAGCATAACGTCCAAATAAAGCATGTATAAATCTAACTAAATAGCATTTTCAGCCGTCATTTTGTTAAGTTCTTTCTCTTATTAATTTCCACAATCTTAGTGAAAATATACAAGTTGAAATGGCCTCAACCTATCTAAATCTCATTACAGTATAATCAAAATAAGCAACAGAGTACCAACCTGTGTGGGAATTTCCAAAGGTGCAGATTTATCAATAGCTGTAGAGGTTGACGTTTCTCCATTCAGGTAGGCCAAAAGTTCTTTACGATCTGGTCGCCGTACCACAGGGATATTCTCGGCCTGTAGAAATGACAATTTTGACTATTTTAAGATCTGAATATATTGTATTGAATTTTCATTTAATTTTTTTTATTTATATAAAGCCACTAGCACTCAAAGCATTTCGAGCTAGGTCCCTGATCCTAATTTTCCTCGGAATACGACCTGCCAAATTGTTTAACAGACATGCACTGCTGGGCAAACATAGTTAAGTTTACAATTAAAGATTGGCACCCGGTCAATCCTCCCCAGCCAGGAAATGAACCCAGACCAAAGCGCAGGGCGAGTGTTTTACCACTTCGCCATGGGAACTAAATCATTAATCCTGCATTAATGATGATCATTATTCTTGCATTACATAAGTCAATAACATTGAAAATTGTGCGTGCAGAACTTACCGCGGCCTTTCGGACATATGAAGGATGTGTAAGGCTGACATGCTTGAGAAGGAAGAGCAGACATTCCAGGGTGTAGTAATCCTTGGGAGCTCCATCTTTACCGGAACTGTAATGAGAAGAATCATTTATTCAAGCAACAATCTATAAAGAATGATTTCTAGCAATTTCTACAGTATTAGATTTTATCATATGAAAAATAGCCATGATATATTTAATCACAAAGGTCAATTCAAGCAATATAATCTTAAATTTTCAATACAGTATAGCCAATGCACTAATTTACGCTATTCAATACTACATAATTAATTCGTCTTGAATCAATCGATACAATCGACTTGAGAATGGTCCAGGATGTACCGAAATGTCGTCATCCCTTCATTTTCTAGTGTGTGGATTGGTCAACATATATAATTAAATAAAATTTGAAGAAAGCACATACTGAAATTCAGTGAAGCAAACTTAGTACTACTGTACTGTCTTACATAACAATATATCGTATGAGAACAGTCAACCTAACTCAGTCATTTTGTTGTGGGGTTGGATCCAGAGCGGGGTCAGTAATTTGACTGGGGGTGGGGTGAAAGACCTTGATATAAGCCTAATGTCTATGAATACAATCTGGCTGCCTGTTCCCCCAAGAATGAATTACCATCAAATCACTTTCCTTACCTATACTTCAAAATACATATAACCTAGACATAAATAGACAATCTAGAAATATAAACTATCTTAAATATAAATACACGACTACCTGCCAAAATCTATGTATTCATAGTTCTGTATTCTTCTCCTAAAATCTCATCTTAAACTACCAGTTTGCCTCGGCTTAAGAGACATTCTTCCTTCCTCAGTAAACAACTCTGATCTTCAATCACTACAACAATAGGAAATCCTAGATAAAAACCTTCATACTTTAAAACATCCCCACTAGTATGGATCCGTCTGTCTGCACTAACAACATAGCTGAAGGTTTGTTAGATAAAGCTTAGTAAAGATAGATAAAGGAAAGTAATTACAATATAAACAAATGTTTAGCGTGGAGGGATGCTGGCCATACACTCGTCTACAGTAAGATAAAACTATTAACAATTGACGAAGTAATGGGACAAATTCGTTAATCTACCTGTATAATCACCATATTATAGGCAATAGGTCGAGAATACAGACAAATCAGCTTATCAAATATAATAAAAGTCAAGACGGCATCTAGACCCCACTGAAGGCCAGAGTAAACAACACCTTTTCCTTCCACCAGGGAACACATACTTACCCGTAAACCAAGTAATTAGTTTTCACAGTCTTCGGCCATGAGAATTCTCCGAAGATTATGTTGTCACCTTTGGTAATTATCTCCTTCTTATTGACATTATATTGGCGGAGGATACTCAGCGGATCCGCCATATTGACAACACTGAGGGACCTCGGGCCCAAACTATTCCTAACACTACGCACAAATGATCAAAAATTTGATTTCACTTTTTGTCACTGATAAAATTCTGTATGGTGCTTTAGAATGAAGTCAAGGATTGCTTTCGGGTTTATAAGATAATTGTTCCTTAGAAACAGATCTAAAAATACAGTCTGTCCGACGCGTCGTGAACGGCTTTCACTGTTATTTATACTATTTTATAAACTCGAACCGCTTTCGGGTATATAAAATAATTGTTCCTTAGATACAGATCTGAAAATACAGTCTGTCTGACACGTGAATTAAAAGTCGTCAGATATATATTAGGCAAGAAAGTCAGGTGAGAGGAGGGAGGGTGAGGCGTATATACGAGTAATAGGCATAAGGAAAATTCAGAAGGCCTAAAAACATAAGAAAATAAGAATGAAGGTAACGAGGCAGCGCCTATTTATATCCACGCAATCTTATTCATATATATAGGTCTAACTTACACTTGAAACTTACACTTACACAATCAATTTGATAATGCAACATCTTCGTCCCTTCAATTTCTAGTGTGTGGTTTGGTCAACATTTTTCAGCCACGTTACTTTTATCTGCATAGGATCCTACTTATATTAATCGAAGCGTTATTAACAAGACACCTGGTGTTGTTCTTTAGCTATATCTTGCTCTGGTTAGGCCCCATTTAGATTATGCAGTTCAGTTTTGGTCGCCGTACTATAGAATGGATATAAATTCACTTGAACGTGTCCAGCGTAGGATGACAAAGTTAATTCCCAAAATTAGAAATCTTTTATACGAAGAAAGATTGACAAGGCTTAAATTGCATTCACTGAAAAGGCGAAGAGTTAGGGGTGGCATGATAGAGGTTTACAAGTAGATGAATGGACATAACAAGGGGGATATTAATAGGGTATTAAAAGTATCAACACAAGACAGAACACGAAACAATGGGTATGAATTGGATAAGTTTAGATTTAGGAAAGACTTGGTTAAATACTGGTTCGGTAACAGGATTCTTGATTTGTGGAACTAATTGCCGCGTAACGTGGTGGAGGTGGAGTCCCTCGATTGTTTCAAGCGTGGGTTGGACATGTATATGAGTGGGATTGTGTGTGGTTATAAATAGGAGCTGCCTCGTATGGGCCAATAGGCCTTCTGCAGTTGCCTTTGTTCTATGTTCTTATAAATAGGAGCTCCTAGTATAGGCCAATGGGCCTTCTGCAGTTACCTTTGTTCTTATGTTCTTATGGTATTAAATTCTTACTAATCATAACTCCCAGATCCCTTTCGCAATCGACTTCGCAATCTCAACACCGTCCAGTTCATATCTTGTAACTCTTTTATCATTACTTAGCCTCAAAACTTTACATTTATCAGCATTAAACTGCATCTTGCTAGTGTGATTTGTTTGTGTAACGAAGCAGAAGATTTTCAAGAATTATTTAAGAACATATGAACAAAGGAAACTGCAGAAGGCCTATTGGCTCATAAGAGGCAGCTCCTATCTATAACTACCCAATCCCACTCATATACATGTCCAACCCACGCTTAAGAACATAAGAATAAAGGTAACTGCAGAAGGCCTATTGGCCCATACGAGGCAGCTCCTATCTATAACCACCCAATCCCACTCATATACATGTCCAACCCACGCTTAAGAACATAAGAATAAAGGTAACTGCAGAAGGCCTATTGGCCCATACGAGGCAGCTCCTATCTATAACCCCCCAATCCCATTCATAAACATGTTCAAGCCACGCTTGAAACAATTGAGGGACCCCACCTCCACCACGTTACGTGGTAATTGGTTCCACAAATCAACAACCCTGTTACCGAACCAGTATTTACCCAAGTCTTTCCTAAATCTAAACTTATTCAATTTATACCCATTGTTTCGTGTTCTGTCTTGTGTTGATACTTTTAATACCCTATTAATATCCCCCTTATGTCCATTCATCCACTTGTAAACCTCTATCATGTCACCCCTTAACTCTTCGCCTTTCCAGTGAATGCAATTTAAGCTTTGTTAATCTTTCTTCATATGAAAGATTTCTAATTTGGGGAAATAACTTTGTCATCCTACGCTGGACACGTTCAAGTAAATTTATATCCACTCTATAGTACGGCGACCAAAACTGAACTGCACAATCTAAATGGGAGCCTAACCAGAGCAAGATATAACTGAAGAACTACACCAGGTGTCTTGTTACTAACGCTAGTAACAATTTGACGATTGTTTATTTAAGTAACACATTATTAAGGATCCAATGCAGGGAAATAATATTTTAGACTTAAGTGTTAATTAACAGGGAGACAAATTAATGACATCGAAATAGGGAGTGAGCTAGGGAACAGTGCTAACAAAGAAATCAGATTTAGCATAGAATGAAATAGATTTGTAGTATAAAATTATGTTAAAGTGCCAAATTTCTGAAGACTCCCCTACGATATTCCAAGACGTAAACCCTCTACTGCTGCTCACCTCCTCTGCTTCCTCTTGACGTAGTTTCGTGTCTTAGCTTCTCCCGCAGGAAATCGATCTGTCCTCAGACCTCCACATAGCTCCCTCACTAGCACCAGTTCACTAACTACACCTTCCATTTTCAGTATAAAGACAACTGGAGTTCCATCTAACACACCCCGTCTCACTGTGACTGAGCCTGACTGCAATGAAACTGTGCCTGACTGTAATCCAGTACCACGAGAATACCGAGGACAGTTTCCCTTTATCACTCGTCTTCCAGCACGGCGAATGAGTTGGAGGTCTTTAGGACAGCTGTAGGTGGCCTTGTCAATGTCTTCTAAAGTCCCCTTGTCCTTTGCGACACTCCAAGACGAAGACTTCCTAATGCTAAATTCAGGAACATATAAAAAAAATATGAAAAAGGTCACATCGTAAACAAGACGGTTTTCCAATGGATTATAAAACCTACTTCCTAATCCAAACCAACCTAACTTAACCCAGCTGAGCCTAACCTAATACTGTATATCATAATTTAGCAATGAATCCCCGTGGGGCAAGTGGTAAGACACTCGCCCGGCGCTTCGCAAGCGCTTTGACCTGGGTTAGTATCCTGGCTGGGGAAAAGCCAGGATAGCCTTTTGCAGCTAAGGTGAGAATTAAAATATAAAATGTAAGAAATGTTTTATTTTTAGCATGGAGATGATACTTTTGGCTTTAACAGCCACATTTACAAACATTTACAACTCTTTCTTGCAAATTAAATTAGCTGGTCCAATTGAAGTATAATGACTCCAAGAAAAATCCTTGAGCCACTTCATATTGCAGCATCACTTATCAATCTTACTTTTACCGAATGTTACATTTTCATGATCTTCGTTCACTTCAGCTCCTGGAATGATGTTTTGGTCAACTGAAAAGGAAAAAATGAACCAATAATCCAAATGATGAATGGGGCATGCGCAAGTTATTTCTTACTACAGTACTGTACTGTAACGTGACATTGTCTAGAACTTCTTGAAATATGGGTTAATGAATGCCTAAAATGTCTCAAACTACAGTACATATATTGATAAAATATCTTTTGGGCACGAGTGTACTGCATGCTAAAAAAAGATGTCCAATTATTTATGTACAGAGGAACCTAGGGTTCATCGCAGTTCAACCAAAATACAGGTACTGAATGTCATGATGCAAGCAGTCATACAAGGCTTAAATCATTACTAAATTTGTGTTCAATATACTAAATTTCATAATTAGTTACTACTTTTTACAAAAGAACATTGGAAAGGATGAGAGATTGTTTCCCCAAACAAGTTATAAATCATGCATGAACACGTATAGGAAAAACCAAAAATGCACTTTTGTGTATAAAAGGTAGGCCACTAAGTACCCTATAAAGGAATATCAAAAACTTAAATTTTCTTCCCCTATTTCCTTTAAAATTTAATATTTAACTTATTCTCTCATATTTTTACTTGGCTACAATGGCTCAATATCAATTTGGTTGGGACTATGCAAAAAGAGATTTAGGGTGATAACATTGCCCCCGCAAGTGTGTGTGTTCTCTCCCTTTTGGTACATCGATAATTATACTTACACAGTGATCATCACAATGCAGGTAATCAGAGCTTCCTCAGAACAAGTCTCTTCTGTCTTTGTACGGGAAGAAACTCTCTCACTGCAGGTGGTCAACCACTCATTCAATTCTACACAACGCCCTGCAACTTTTTCAATTGACTTTCCTTCGGACAAGGACCTGAAAAATTAAATTTGTTATTGCTAAAACTCAAAACATCTTTACACGTATCAAACTGAGCATCTGATTCCAGGTTTAGATGGCTGCATGATGATATTACTTTCCTAATCCAACACACACACGTTTCAAGTGACTTGTATTTCACAATGTTAAAATATTTAAATTTGTTACCTCCTGTTTCCTTAATGATAATTAATCCCAGATCACAGTCAAAATTGATGCTTTAATATTTCAATAAACAATTGCAAATTCCATGAATTTGTATTATAGCCCCCAGGTAGTGGTAAATTAGGTGACTGAAGTAGCCCATAGAAACACCAATGTGGTAGAAGTAAAAGGAATAGGGGAAAGGGAAAGGGGGGGGGGGAGGGAGAAAGGTTACCTTCCTTCATTGATAGATCTTTTCTAAAAGTCACACACTAACTACAAGTGTTCTCATCAATGGTGGACGTCTTTCACTCTCTCAATAGACAGTGTATTTTTCTCGGGATCAATAATGGCACATGCTATGACCTTGCCTCAAGCCCTGAGACTTGCATAGGCCCAACAGAAACCAGGTTCAAAATCAGGTATGCTCAGAGTGCCAATGGAAGCTTAGGAATCAGTGACCAACCCAAAACAAAGGAAACTGACAAAAAAGGTGAAGGCAAAATCAGACCACTGCTCATACTAAGAAAACAATGAAACTAGGCATAAAAGCCTCAAATAAAGAATCCTTGTGCCAATTCACCTTTCTGCCATTAGATAGTAACAGGTCCCCTGGGGTCCCAGTCTGGCAGCACTCTCGCTCATGTGCTGCCCAAATTGTCTTCAATCCCACAGGGAAGAACGGAACAATGGGTATGAAAATCAAGTATTTATCGTTTCATACATTAAATACTTGATTTGATTTTTAGACTGCCTCAGTAGCTCCCCAGTGCTTATTCACAATGGAGCCTCAGAGGTGTGTGAAAGGGAAAACAGTTTAAGGAAAAGACAAAAGACAGAAAAGTGCTTACCGATGTGTGCAGTAGAATGACAACCAGGGCTCAGGAAAGAGGAGCATCAGTAGCCTGACTCCCACCCAAGCATCACACAACCTTGGCAAGGATATAGGATATCCAAGAATCTTGAGCTCAAATATCGGTGGTCATATTAGCACAGAAAGCCACAATGGCAGTATACTTCCACACATCATGAGTACGGTGACACACATCATGATGACTAAACCAAACATCTACATGACCCGGAACAAGGGACTAAGAGCCGAGAATTGGCAGAAAGAGCATCCACTCTAGAAGCACGCATAGCACACAAAGGTGCAAGTGGCTACAGGACTGTGTAATGAGCCCAATAATGGATGAACCACAAGTCAATAACCATGGGACCCCTCTGTAAGGCAGAACACTCATGCTTAATGACAACAGAGAACGTTGGAGATAGAGAAAACAACCAAAACAGAGAAAAACACGAAAAAGTTAAATCATTAACAAAAAAAAAATTGTCTTTGGTGTGCATATCCATCACACCTACATTCTAGTACAGTATACTGTTCTGCTATTGTACCTATCAATATTGCTGACAATGGAAGACTTCTTTGGAACATCAAAGCGAAGAGCAAGTTACTCCTTTTTTCTCTGTACATCGCTGTCATCATAACGTGGCTTCTTGGCTGTAATGTCTGATGCATCCTCCAGTGTTCGCTTCACCTGCATTATGACTGCATGATATAAATTTTGGAATACTGTACATCGAGGCTAAAGCATAACTTCCAAATAAAGCACGTATAAATCTAACTAAATAGCATTTTTTTCAGCAGTTATTTTGCTAAACCTTTCCTCTTATTAATTTCCACAATCTTTGTGGAAAATATGCAAGTTGAAATTCCCTCAATCTATCAATACCACATTACAGTAAAATCAAAATAAGTAACAGAGTACCAACCTGTGTGGGACTTTCCAAAGGTGCAGATTTATCAATAGCTGTAGATGTTGACGTTTCTCCATTCAGGTAGGCCAAAAGTTCTTTACGATCTGGTCGACGTACCCAATGGATATTCTCGGCCTATGGAAATGCAAATTTTGACTTGTTGTAAGATCTGAATACAGTATATTGTATTGAATTTTTTTTTTAATTTATATATACAAGAGTTCTTACATTCTTGTAAAACCACTAACACGCATGGCATTTTGGGCAGGAATTTGATCCTAATTTTCCTCAGAATATGACTTGCCAAATCATTTAACAACTAGGTACCTATTCACTGCTGGGTGAACAGAGGTTACAGTTAAGGATTGGCACCTGTTCAATCCTCCCTGGCCAGGATACGAACTCAGGCCAAAGTGCTCGCAAAGTGCAGGCCGAGTGTTTTACCCCTGAGCCATGGGGACTTGCATTATCAATACATGCAAGATTATAGGATACAGGCTGGATTTAAATGTAGATGATCAGTCTCCAAAGAACATGTAACTGTAAAATTGAAAAATTGCATGTGCAGAACTTACGGCGGCCTTTCGGACATATGAAGGATGTGTAAGGCTGACATGCTTGAGAAGGAAGAGCAGACATTCCAGAGTGTAGTAATCCTTGGGAGCTCCATCTTTACCAGAACTGTAATGAGAAGAATCAGATATTTATACAAGAATCAATCTATAAAAAATGATTGAGCAATTTCTGTAGTACTGAACAGTATTAGACACAGAAATCACAATAGCGTGATGCATCATATTAACAAATCCACAAGGGCCATGACGAGGATTTGAACCTACGTCCGAGAGCATCCTAGATGCGGCCTTAATCGACTGCTCTACGTCATGGTCCATGTCGTAGCGCAGTCGATTAAGGCCGTGTCTGGGATGCTCTCTGACATAGGTTCGAATCCTCGCCACGGCCCTTGTGGATTTGTAAATACAATATTAGGTTTTATCATGTGAGAAATAATCATGACAGATTTAATCACAAAGGCCAATGCCCTAATGTACTTTATTTAATACTACACAATTAAGTTGAAGAAAGAAAACACATACTGAAATTCAGTGAAGCAAACAAAGTACTGTACTGTCTTGTATAAAAATACAGGAACTGTATATCATATGTCTCCAGTCAATGTATACCAGTCTCCTTGGTGTAGTGGTAAGACACTCGCATGGTGTTCCATGAGCACGTTGTCATGGGTTCATATCCTGGCCGGGGAGGATTTACTGGGCGCAAATCCTTAACCGTAGCCTCTGCTTAACTCAACAGTAAAATGAGTACTTGGTTGTAAAAACGATTCTTCGTGGGGGTCGTATTCCAGGGATAGGATTAAGGACTTGCCCGCAACGCTACGCATACTAGTGGCTGTACAAGAATGTAACAACTCTTGTATATACAGTATCTAAAAAAAAAAATATGAGAACAGTCAACCTAACTCAGCTGTCTAACTTCTGGGTACCTATTTATTGCTAGGTGAATGGAAACATAAAAGGTAAAAAGAAATGTGCCCAATCATTTCTGTCCCGACACAGAATCAAACTCATGATCACCAGTTGTGTGTCAAAAATGTGGGCAATTGTATTACAAGACCCATTTAACATATAGAAATAATGGTATTTCTTTTGGCTCTCTTGCATATCCAAACACATGTGGAGTATAATTCAACAAATATTTAGAGGCCTATATGGAACCATTATTAAACAAGCACTATTCCTAAACATACTTCTAGGAAAATCACACACCTGGGCACACACATGTCCAGGTGTGGACATAATAGACATTTATATACATATTCATGCATTTATAGACATAGACAATCTAGAAATATAAACAATCTCTTCATATATAAATACACAACCCACCACTACAACCTATGTACACGTAATTCATAGTTCTGTATTCTTCTAAAAAATCTCAACTCAAACAACCACAGTTTGCCTTGGCTTAAGCCATTCTTGCTTCCTCAGCGAACGTGTAAACAACTCTGATGTTTTATTTATTTATATATATACAATAACGTACATTGGGTTTATGAGAGCACATAGCATTGATGTTTTTACATTCTTGTAAAGCCACTAACATGCATTGCATTGCGGGCAGGTCCTTAATCTTACAAGTAATTTTAAGTAAGTGTGTTCAATCACTACAACTATAGGAAATCCTAGATAAAAACCCTCATGCTTTAAAACATCCCCACTAGTATGGATCCGTCTGTCTGCACTAACAACATAGCAGTTGTAGCTGAAGGTTTGTTAGCTAAAGGAAAATAATCCCAATATAAACAAATGTTTAGCGTGATGGGATGATAACCAAACACTCTACCTACAGTAAGATAAAACTATTAACAATTGACGAAGTAATGGGACAAATTCCCCAATCTACCTGTATAATCACCGTATACAGTGATTACATAGGTCGAGAATACAGACAAATCAGCTTATCAAATATAATAAAAGTCAAGACGGCATCTAGACCCCACTGAAGGCCAGAGTAAACAACACCTTTTCCTTCCACCAAGGAACACATACTTACCCGTAAACCAAGTAATTAGTCTTCACAGTCTTCGGCCATGAGAATTCTCCGAAGATTATGTTGTCACCTTTGGTAATTATCTCCTTTTTATTGACATTATATTGGCGGAGGATACTCAGCGGATCCGCCATATTGATAACACTGAGGGACCTCGGGCCCAAACTATTCCTAACAAAATCAAAAATCAAAATATAAATGTTTATTCAGGTAAAAGTACATACATTGAAGATGAGTTACAAACATAATGTTGAATTTATAGAGCTAGAACATACAATAACTAAAGCCACTAATACGCACAGCGTTGAGGGCAAGCACTTAAATTGCACTTGGAAAACACCTGTAAACTTGGTGAAAGCACTTGGAAAACACTTAACTTCAAACATATATTTATAAATAACAAGCTTAGGTATACACAGCAATGTGCTGCTACCCTATTCTATATAAAGATTATACAGTGTAGATCAAAAACATGCTATAAGTTCATCTAATATTCTCATCTCACAGGATGGTTAGTCATACATGGAGTCAGGGGGAGAAAATACCAGCCTTAATACAAAAACAAATCAATTGACTACAAAAAAACAGGAGAGAACATGAAGTGTAAGGCTGATTGGTCTATTAGCCCCACTAGCAAAATCTGGGTACAGCAAATCTTGTGTGCGATGAGACTTGTATCTGGCATAATTAAAATATTAACTTAAATAATTCGTTTGTTAGACAATATATGATATTCAGATCTATAAATTACTTTGGAAAGGCCTATAATGTATATAAATATTAATTTACTCACTCCTTGCGCAATACGCTAGGAATTTCAATATGGCGTTCAAATAATTTTAGGCAGAGGGTCTCTGGGTCGGTCGGACGCTTCCGGGTCATTGACGACGACCCCGCCAGTCGTCAGGAAGCAGCGACGGCGTTAGCATCGTCGTTCCTGTGTAGGTGAGGGTCATCAATTTTTTTTTTTTTTGCTAGCATATATGAGCAGTTGGGAGGTACAAATGGATATATAGTCTACCTCCACTACTATGCTTAATGCATTATACATTTGTTCGGTATTATAGCATTGAGTTTTTTTAATGTCTCTGAGGGTCATTGTTTCCGTATTTTTTTTCATCCGGGTTCTGTAGTATTCAAATGTTTGTATTCTACTAATGCTAAATAGTGTTCTCTCTCGGATATTGTGGAAGATTTTTAGGATCATGATTTGCCAACATTGTATGGGTAGGATATTATGTAGAATACACTTCCCTATAGTGTTAAACCACCCTGTCGTCAGGCTAGGCTCGTTAACGCGGCGGTCGACCCTCCCACCTTCCAAGATGCATTTATTATCGACTTAGGCGTATAGTAGGTTTAATTAGGCGTATAGTAGGCTCGGTATTTAGGTTCTGTTGGCAATTATTTGCACTTGAAGTATGTGGAGGGTGAAGCATTTACAGTTGCCTGTCCTCAGGGCAGGCTCCCCTACGTCCCCGCCCAACCCAAATTAGCCGCGTTCATCAATTTGATCGCAGTGCGTATTCAGAATTATTCTCTCGTGTAAGGTAATATTATTTCAAGTTAATAGTTTAAAAACTAAGTTTAGTGACAAGCGACAGTCCTGTGTACAATCCTCCCTCCAAGAACTGAATTTACCCGAGGGCCACTAACATTAGTGGCCTCGATAAGGACAGTAATCCGGCGGCTTGTCAAAGGTCCCCCCATTTGCCCTGATGATCTTTTTCCAGCTGTATTTTAAAACCCAGCAGAGTTTTGGCGTTTACGGCTTCGGCGGGTAGGCGGTTCTACGGGTTTACAACACTAAGGGAGAAAAAGCATCTCCTGTTTCTTGTCCAACATTCTGGCTTGTTGAGTTTGAACCTTTTGAAGACAGTCCTGATCGTCATCCTCCAAATTGTTTAGTATTTTAAAGGGTTCTATGAAGTCCGCCCTGTCATGCCTGGTCTGCATTTTTTTTTTATAGATATATATACAAGAGTTGTTACATTCTTGTACAGCCACTAGTACGCGTAGCGTTTCGGGCAGGTCCCTGGAATACGATCCCCGTCGCGAAGAATCGTTGTTACAACCAAGTACACGTTTTACTGTTGAGTTAAACAGAGGCTACAGAAAAGGATTTTCGCTCAGTAAATCCTCCCCGGCGAGGATACGAACCCTTGACAAAGTGAGTGTCTTACCACTACACCACGGAGACTTGTTAGCCCTGTCTTAGGGGGCTAGGTTAGGTTGAGGGCTTGTGGCCCTCAACCGTTCCTGATACGAGAGATGACTAAGCTCTGGTATGATTTTTGTCGTAAGACATATCTCCATAGCTCTGGTAAGACATGGCTCCAGAGCAGCTATATATGTCTTTCTGAAGATGCATGAGGTCTCCATGCCTGGATGCAATAATTCATGTGGGGCGCACCAGAAACTTATATAATTGAAGGTCTACTTTCTTTTCCTTGAAGGGAAAGGTACGCATGATTATTCCCAGGGTTTAGTTTGCTTTTTTTACTGCCGCTCCCACTTGTTGTACAACTATCAGTGATTGGAGGATTCTGACTCAACGATAATGTTGATGATTTGGTAGTTGTGTTGTTATGCCTCACGTGATGGGTTCTGACTTCACGGTCCCTTTCTTCATCTATCTGTTGAAAGGTAGTGCTGACAATTTGGAAGTTGTGACGTGGATTATTGTGCCACACATGTAAGGTCTTGTATTCATCGACATTAAGAAGTCATCTGAAAATTTGTGGGGTTCATGAAGATCTTTCATGTTACGCTTGTGGTTACACAACTGGTCGGGCTCCGGTTAAATAACTGGTCGGGCACCGGGGGTGTAATTTGGGCTTTGGGTTGTGCATGGTCGGTCTTCAGTTCGTGCATGGTTGTGCTTCAGAGGTTGTTTGTTCAGTTCCTTCATGCTAGGCTTGCGGTTACACAACTGGTCGGGGTCCGGTTACACAACTGGTCGGGCTCCGATTACACAACTGATGGAGCTTTGATTACACAACTGGTCGGGCTCCGGTTAAATAGCTGGTCGGGCTCCGGTTAAATAACTGGTCGGGCTCCGGTTAAATAACTGGTCGGGCTCCGGGGGTGTAATTTGGGCTTTAGGTTGTGGATGGTTGTGCTTCAGAGGTTGTTTGTTCAGTTCCTTCATGCTAGGCTTGTGGTTACACAACTGGTCGGGCTCCGGTTACATAACTGGGCGGTCTCTGGGGGTGTCACTAATTGGGCTTTGGGTTGAGCATGTTCGAGCTTCGGTTCATGCATGGTTGTGCTTCAGATGTTTTTTGTTCGGTTCGTTCATGCTAGGCTTGCGGTTAAACAACTGGTCGGGCTCCGGTTAAATAACTGGTCGGGCTCCGGGGGTGTAATTTGGGCTTTGGGTTGTGCATGGTCGGTCTTCGGTTCGTGCATGGTTGTGCTTCAGATGTTTTTTGTTCGGTTCGTGCATGGTTGTGCTTCAGATGTTTTTTGTTCGGTTCGTTCATGGTTGTGCTTCAGATGTTTTTTGTTCGGTTCGTTCATGGTTGTGCTTCAGATGTTTTTTGTTCGGTTCGTTCATGCTAGGCTTGCGGTTACACAACTGGTCGGGGTCCGGTTACACAACTGGTCGGGCTCCGATTACACAACTGGCGGAGCTTTGGTTACACAACTGGTCGGGCTCCGGTTAAATAGCTGGTCGGGCTCCGGTTAAATAACTGGTCGGGCTCCGGTTAAATAACTGGTCGGGCTCCGGGGGTGTAATTTGGGCTTTGGGTTGTGGATGGTTGTGCTTCAGATGTTTTTTGTTCGGTTCATGCATGGTTGTGCGTCAGATGTTTTTTGTTCGGTTCGTGCATGGTTGTGCTTCAGATGTTTTTTGTTCGGTTCGTTCATGGTTGTGCTTCAGATGTTTTTTGTTTGGTTCGTTCATGGTTGTGCTTCAGATGTTTTTTGTTCGGTTCGTGCATGGTTGTGCTCCAGATGGTTTTTGTTCGGTTCGTGCATGGTTGTGCGTCAGATGTTTTTTATTCGGTTCGTGCATGGTTGTGCGTCAGATGTTTTTTGTTTGGTTCGTTCATGGTTGTGCTTCAGATGTTTTTTGTTCGGTTCGTTCATGTTTGTGCTTCAGATGTTTTTTGTTCGGTTCGTGCATGGTTGTGCTTCAGATGTTTTTTGTTCGGTTCATGCATGGTTGTGCTTCAGATGTTTTTTGTTCGGTTCGTGCATGGTTGTGCTTCAGATGTTTTTTGTTCGGTTCGTTCATGGTTGTGCTTCAGATGTTTTTTGTTCAGTTCGTTCAGGCTAGGCTTGCGGTTACACAACTGGTCGGGGTCCGGTTACACAACTGGTCGGGCTCCGATTACACAACTGGTGGAGCTTTTGTTACACAACTGGTCGGGCTCCGGTTAAATAGCTGGTCGGGCTCCGGTTAAATAACTGGTCGGGCTCCGGTTAAATAACTGGTCGGGCTCCGGGGGTGTAATTTGGGCTTTGGGTTGTGGATGGTTGTGCTTCAGAGGTTGTTTGTTCAGTTCCTTCATGCTAGGCTTGCGGTTACACAACTGGTCGGGCTTTGGTTACATAACTGGGCGGTCTCTGGGGGTGTCACTAATTGGGCTTTGGGTTGAGCATGTTCGAGCTTCGGTACATGCATGGTTGTGCTTCAGATGTTTTTTGTTCGGTTCGCTCATGCTAGGCTTGCGGTTAAACAACTGGTCGGGCTCTGGTTAAATAACTGGTCGGGCTCCGGTTAAATAACTGGTCGGATTCTGGGGGTGTAATTTGGGCTTTGGGTTGTGCATGGTCGGTCTTCGGTTCATGCATGGTTGTGCTTCAGATGTTTTTTGTTCGGTTCGTGCATGGTTGTGCTTCAGATGTGTTTTGTTCGGTTCGTGAATGGTTGTGCTTCAGATGTTTTTTGTTCGGTTCGTGCATGGTTGTGCTTCAGATGTTTTTTGTTCGGTTCGTTCATGGTTGTGCTTCAGATGTTTTTTGTTCGGTTCGTTCATGGTTGTGCGTCAGATGTTCTTTGTTCGGTTCGTGCATGGTTGTGCTTCAGATGTTTTTTGTTCGGTTCGTGCATGGTTGTGCATCAGATTTTTTTGTTCGGTTGGTGCATGGTTGTGCTTCAGGTGTTTTTTGTTCGGTTCGTTCATGCTAGGCTTGCGGTTACACAACTGGTCGGGGTCCGGTTACACAACTGATCGGGCTCCGATTACACAACTGGTGGAGCTTTTGTTACACAACTGGTCGGGCTCCGGTTAAATAGCTGGTCGGGCTCCGGTTAAATAACTGGTCGGGCTCCGGTTAAATAACTGGTCGGGCTCCGGGGGTGTAATTTGGGCTTTGGGTTGTGGATGGTTGTGCTTCAGAGGTTGTTTGTTCAGTTCCTTCATGCTAGGCTTGCGGTTACACAACTGGTCGGGCTCCGGTTACATAACTTGTCGGTCTCTGGGGTGTCACTAATTGGGCTTTGGGTTGAGCATGTTCGAGCTTCGGTTCGTGCATGGTTGTGCTTCAGATGTTTTTTGTTCGGTTCATGCATGGTTGTGCTTCAGATGTTTTTTGTTCGGTTCGTGCATGGTTGTGCTTCAGATGTTTTTTGTTCGGTTTGTGCATGGTTGTGCTTCAGATGTTTTTTGTTCAGTTCGTTCAGGCTAGGCTTGCGGTTACACAACTGGTCGGGGTCCGGTTACACAACTGGTCGGGCTCCGATTACACAACTGGTGGAGCTTTTGTTACACAACTGGTCGGGCTCCGGTTAAATAGCTGGTCGGGCTCCGGTTAAATAACTGGTCGGGCTCCGGTTAAATAACTGGTCGGGCTCCGGGGGTGTAATTTGGGCTTTGGGTTGTGCATGGTTGTGCTTCAGAGGTTGTTTGTTCAGTTCCTTCATGCTAGGCTTGCGGTTACACAACTGGTCGGGCTCCAGTAAAATAACTGGTGGGGTTCTGGGGG